TTGACTAGGACTTCCTGGATATGTGTCTGGCCAAAATGAATTTTGGTCCTGCATTCTGCCACTCGGTCCAACTCCTTCATAGATCGGCCACTACGAACATAATGCTTAATGGCCACCTCTCACAGTCGATAGCGCTGTAGAGGTCGGTACGTCAAGGCGATCCCATCGCGCCCCTTCTCTTTGTTATAGTGATGGAAGCCCTTACAACGCTGATTAGAGCCCATCCAAAAAACAGCAAGGTCCCCATCTCGGATATCCCGGACCACCTTATCCCAGTGACCTCGCTGTTCGCTGACGACCTTACGGTCCTGATACGTGCAGACGTCGAAAGCCTTCAAGCCCTCACCCTTATCATACATCTCTTCTCACTGGCAGCAGACATGAAAGTGAACTGGGGCTCCAAGACAGAGGGTTGGTGGCTCCACCCCCAGGACTTGCCCCCTCCACCCGACCCATGTGTGGCCTGGGCGAGAAAGGAGGACGCTATCAGGATCTTGGGAGTGAGGCTGACGGCACTGGAGCCCCCACCTGACCACTGGGACGTCCTTGTGAACATGGACATTTAACGCCTGGTAAGATGGGAGAGTCTGCACACTTCATTGGTGGACCGGGCGCTGGTAATCAACAACACTATCATTGCGGCTATATGGTACAAACAGGCAGTTTGACCACTGAATCCACAACAATACTCTAGGCTAAGGAAGACCCTCACAACGTACCTCTGGAAAAATAACACCAAAACGGAGGGCTGCATGAGCAGGGTCAGTTGGGACACCCTCACACAACCAAGAGCCAAAGGGGGTCTGGGGATACAGGATCCCGAAGGAGAGAGTGAGGCCATGATTTTCAAAGTGTTGATCAGACTCCTCATTGGAAATGACATCTCGTAGGCCCCCGTGGCCTGTGTGCAGATAGCCAGTCTTGCACCTAATGCTGAGTCTCCCAATCAAGTGCACCCTCTTCAATGGTTGACCAATAGCCATTGGACAATCCTGAGTCCCCGCCGGCACCGGCATGCGACAGGTGCGGCGCTGGCCACCAGGCAAGACATCCCCCTCGACCCCCTTTGGCCATACATGATAAAGCTGTAGAGAAAACACGGCCCTAAACAGAAGCGCCCGCCCAATAGATGGCACTCCATTTGGAGATAGTCGTTGTTTGGCAACCCATTCATCCTGGACGAAGCCGGCAACCCATTTACGCTCTCGGGTAACTCTTCCTGGTTCTCCGGAGTTAACAAAGGAATCTACACGGTGGGTGACCTCTGGGACACAGCTGAGCAAAACAGGGCCACACCGCAGCAGTTGCAAGCTAAGCTGAAGTACGTAAAGAATGTCCCCGAAAAGGCCCGTCAAATAATAGAAGCCCTTCCTTTGGCCTGGTGGCAAATCCTCAACACTGGCCTGACTATCCAACGACAAGACTCGGTGGTCAAGTACAATGACCTCCCCAGCCCAACTGTTGTCTACAAGGTGCACAACACTCATGAAGGGAAGTGCACATTGGAAGCTTTCGTCCCAAACACTCCATGACTGCGGTTCTCTCCACTAGCCCGGAATGAAGATTTGGACACCACAGAATCGTGGGTAGGGTTGATGAATGTGAGAGTGGTGGGCGACGACGATAAGGGCTACCATGTATACGAACCCGCCAAGCCTATTGCCTGCCTGCCCTTTGACCCGGATGACTAGGAATGGACGGGCCAACAATCTATGCACATCTGGGACTACACGGCTAAAGGGGGATATAGAGCCTCCACTAGGATAAGTACTCCAAAATAATGCCCGCAAACCTCAGATCTCTACAATGGACCTCGAACAGAAAGGCCTATTGTCCCCTATTTGCTCCTATTATGGCAGGGCAACACAGTCGGCCAGAGCGATACTCGAACACTATTTGTTGGCGTGCCTGATGGCTGCCCAAATATGGAGGTGGTGAGATGCAGCGTTCCATTCACTCACGGACATCCATATCCCGTGGGAGATGGGCCTCATCCTACTTGGCAAAAACCAACACTTGCTGGTGCAATGGACACCCTTTGCCGCCAACCTCTTCTCGTATATGAGGCTGCACGTGCTCATGCAAGCCTGGAGAGCCAGTTGCTCTTTTGAGAGAAAAGACCATCAGTTCGGTCTCCAGCATGCACAAGAAGCAACTGAGGAAGAGATCATGTCCAATACATAAAGGGTCTGAAAGGCTATGAAACAAAAACATCACGAACAGAGGGACCCCGTCCTTAGGGAGGCTTTGCGAGAGTCCTACTGCCAAATTTGGCAGGATCCGCACCAAGCCTTCTCCGAACTGATGGATGACCTCAATGTACAATGGAAAAACTGGAGAGTGAACGAGCCCTCATGGCAAAGGAAACCCTTGGACGACTTTGCAGTCCCGTACCTTCCGACTAACTTTGTGCTTATCCCCCAGGACCCCGGTTGCACAATGCCCCATGGCCCCGTCCTACACTGACCCCTCCCCTCCCTCCTGTAC